AGTTCAAGGCCAGCCTGGGCTACAGAGCGAGTTCCAGGAAAAAGACGCAAAGCTACACAGAGAAACCCTGTCTGGAAAAACCAAAAAAGAAAAAAAAAAAAAAGGAGGCTAGAGCGGCTTTGAGAGATCTGAAGCTGTTCTTTGTCTTGACAGTGTTTGGAACAGACAGGTTGCTCTCCTGATGGAGTAAAGTGTCCCAGGAGTCACACTCACACATGGGTCCAATGCTGGCCTTCTAACTCACCTAACAACTCTTTCTGTTTTTCACTTGTGGAACACACTTACAAGTTTTGCACCAATTTGATTGTTTTTTTCTTTTTTTCTTTTTTTTTTTTGTTTTTTGAAACAGGGTTTCTCTGTGTAGCTTTGTGCCTTTCCTGGAACTCACTTGGTAGCCCAGGCTGACCTCGAACTCACAGAGATCCACCTGCCTCTGCCTCCTGAGTGCTGGGATTAAAGGCGTGCGCCACCACCGCCCGGCCTGATTGTTTTTTTTCAAGACAGGGTTTCTCTGTGTAGCTTTGTGCCTGTCCTAGAACTCACTTTGTAGACCAGGCTGGCCTCGAACTCACAGAGATCCACCTGCCTCTGCCTCCCGAGTGCTGGGATTAAAGGCGTGCGCCACCACTGCTCAGCAGTCACAACCTTTTAAAGACATAAAAGTCTTCTTCCTCTCCATGAAGGATTGGTACATGTGTTTACACCTTTCTCCTCCTTAGGAATCACTACCGTCTTTCCTGAAGAAGTTTCCATTGGTTCAAAAATTCTGTCAAACTTTAGAGTTAGCATTTAAAAACAGCAATTATCATTTTGTGATTTTCCATATAAAATGAAAGCCATTGCTTAATGAGATGTTTTCTTAGATAGGTAGGGAGAGATGGCTCAGCAGGTCAAGGCTCTTTATACCAAGTCAAACCGGCTGAGCTCAATCCTTGAGATCTACATTATTCTCTGGCCTCTACACATACTCTGTGTTTCTCTCTCTCTCTCTCTCTCTCTCTCTCTCTCTCTCTCTCTCTCTCTCTCTCTCTCTCTCTCTCTCTTCATAAATAAATGTAAAAGATTGTTGTATCTAAATGCTTCATCAGAATTTGATGCTTTTAAGAGTCTCCTGATAAACCAAAGCCAATTTTATTTAGGAGGGGTTTGGAGGCATTGAAACATTCCCAAGAGCAGGAACAGGCATAGGAAGTGGAGCATGTGTCTCCATCAGTAAGCATGGATTCTCACTGATATTCTCAGATGAGTCCTTTGCAAGCACCTGAGTTAAAAGCTCTGGTCACTCTCCAACCCCTTACAAGGCCTTATTTTCACTAGTCCTGTCTTGACAATACAGTCTCTATTTCTGTCATGTTCAGGAGATGAAGTCCCCACTAGCTCAGGGGCTCCCTTCACCACCACAATTCCCCCACAGAACAGCATGTCTTTCCTTAGGCTCTAAACACCGCTCATCAAATGATCCTGGTACACATGGAAGCCTGCCCTTTTAGCAAAGTGACAAGCCAGTGAACATCTCACAGCAGTTTTTGCAGAACTTTGGCCTTCGTTGTATACACTGCCCAACCAAGCACTCAGGACTAAGACTTGACGTACATTACAAACATATGTGCCTCTGTTTACTATTGATGCAAATAAACACACCAAGGAACAGTCACTGCTATGTATATTACTTCTGAAAGGAAAACATGTTTTATTCTATTGTGAAACATGCTTTCTCTTCTCAATCTGGCTTTACAAAATAAATCATATAAAGTATTTAACCCTCAGAAACTGCTCGCAACCAACTTCTCTATCAAGCAACATGTTTCTTTTGCTACTTCGTTTGTGTTTTGATTGGGGCAGGATCTCACTCTACTCTGGGCCGGCCTGGGCCTCACTCAACTATGTAGCTCAGGCTGGCATGCAACGCATGGACAGTTCTCCTGCCTCAGCCTTCCAAGTGGTGGCGTTACTGGCATGAGCCACCATGCCTGACTAACAAGCCACATTTTGTTGTTTCACAACAGACATTCGAGCTGTTTGTAATTTGCATTGCTGTAAGACTGCTCCCTTGTCCGTGCTCTGCATGCGTTGAAACTGCATCCCTCCTGTCATGTCCTGGAGGTGAGGCCTTTAAGAAGTCATTAGGCTTTGATGCAATTGGTACCTTATAAAAAACCTAACAAGTTTGCACACATGCTGTCTCTCAGCCATGTGAGGACACACCAAGAAGGCCAGCCAGCAATCAGAACACGCTGACACTGGGATCTCGGAGGCCCCAACGTCTGGAACTATGAGACATCAACATTTGATGTTTAACCCACCCAGCCTTGGTACTTGTTACAGTAACCTGAGTAGACACATTCGTGTTTTTTTTCTTGCTGGGGTTTCAAATTCTCTGTGATGCTAGCTTCCTCCTTCCCTTGCTTTAGGACAGGAAAGGGCTTTGTGAGGAGCTTAGGAAGTAGCAGCCACATGCTACTGTGTGTTTCATTTTCCAGAAAATAAAAGTCAAATTAATAGAAGAAATGAAGGGGTGTAAAGTACCATCCTGCATCCTCAGTCCCATGAGACTAATTATAACAGCTGCTCGTATGTCAGCATCTATAGTTATAGCCTGTGCCGGAGCTGGGGATAGGGAAGGCAGGAGGACCAGGCAGCGACAGCACCTGTATACCACAGTAGAGTTGGCAGTCAGTGAATAATCAAGTGTTCAATCTCATTAGCCACCCGGGGAAATGCAAATTATAAGTGATTTAAGATTTTATCTCTCCTCATCCGAAATGGCCACCATCAATAAAGCAAATGACAACTGCCAGTGAGGATCCCAGGGAAGAGGTGCCCTTCACACCACTGGTAAGAATGCAAGTAAAGCGTGGCAGTCACTCAGGAAGTCAGTCTGAATTACCAGATGGTGCAGCTAAGCCGCCCCTATGTGTACATCCACATACCAGCAGACGTATTTGCACAAGCGTGTTCATTAATGCTCTATTCACAGCAGCTAAGAAATGGAACCAGCCCAGGCACCCACCAACAGATGAGTGGACAGAGGTGCTATGTCCACAGCAGGACTTCGCACAGTCACAGAGAAAAGTGAAATTGGGCCATTTGCAGGTAAACTGTTGCGACTGGAAACTCTTATGCTAAATGAAAAGATTCAGACTCAACAAGACAAATGCTGAATCTTTCTTCTCACATGCCGACTCTAGATTTAGATTTCTACATGTGTGGATGTATTGTGCCTGTGTAAGTTTGAAAAGTAGAAAGTAGAGGGAAGGGGGGCAGAGATTTTAAGGGAAGAAAGATGGAAAGAAGGAAAAAAAGAGAAAACAATGGAATAGCCATGACATAAAAGCAGAAGTAGGTGTTTTGGGGGGAGGTGTAGGGTCTAGCAAATACGGGTAGCAGGATGGGTGAGGTCAAGGAAGCGGGAGAAAGAACCAAGTAAAATGAAAAAGATGCAGGAAAATGCCATGATGAAACCTGTGACTTTCTGTGCTGTTCATTGTTTTATTAGCTAAAGAGGAAATAAACAAATAAAAACAAGTTTGGGTCAGAATTGTTAGATGCCACCCTCTCACGGCATCAACTGCTATCAGACCTCCATGTTCTCCTCTTGCCCCGCCCCCTCCTCCCTCTTCTCTCCTCCCTCCCCTCTCCCTGACTGTTTTCCTCTCTCCCCTCTCCTCTTTCTTTCCTTTTGCTTTAATTTACAATATTCTCTTCCATACTTGAGGTTGCTTGATAGCAGGCCGCCTGCCTCAGAAAGGCAAAGCCACCATCTCCAAGTCTCTGTAGGAACCACTCCAAGAGGCAGAGCTAGGGTTCAAACCCAGCTCTCCTGTGCTTGCTCTGCTGGTTTCAGGGCAGTCTATTAAGACCCAGGGGCCTTCAGGCAAAGCATGGGCAGATGATGATGATGATGATGAAGATGAGGCAGCAGCTGGGACGGATTTCTTGGAGCTGGCTCTTTGCAAACCCATCAGTTTCCACCCTGTGTCCCTTGGCATTTAGCATGCTAACGTCCAGAGGCAGGTAACTAATTAATACAGTGCTGAATCTTTGTTGAAACCATTTGTTAAAGCACTTCATTTCCTTTGCCAATCTGATCTCTATTTCCTGGAGAGCCAAAACAAAACAAAGTAAGCATCTGGGGGCTGGAATGAACTCCAAGAGCCTTTCCTAAGAAGGTACAGTAGGGAAGAGGAAGGACACCATGAGACGCTGGCCTGGCTGCTGCTCAGAGATGCATCAGCTTAAAAAACATATTTCTTTCCTACATTTCAGCTAGGCACAGCGGGTTGGTTTTAGAACTCCCCAAGGACAATGACGTCCTTGAGTACTGTTGTATAAAACCATGTGATACTTTATAAAGCATGTGCAAATCCTCTTGTGTAATTGAAATCATTTCTGGATTATAATAATACCTAATACAATATAGATGATATGTAAAGAGTTATCCTGGATTATTGAAGGAATAATGACAAGAGAAAATGTCTGTGCATGTGGAGTACAGATAGACTTTTTTTTCCCTTAAATACTTTCCATTTATGTTCGGTTGAAGCCATGGATACAGAACATGTGGATACAGGAGCTGATCATACTGGGTTCGATTTTGCTGTACATAACTCAAATGAGGAGCAGAGTGATGATTCAGTTGGTAAAACACTTGCCTTGTGAGCACAAAGACTTGAGTTTCATCCTCAGAACAGACCTACAAATCCACATCTGGTGGTGTGTGCTCTAATCCAGTGCTGGGGAGTTAGAGACAGGCAGATGAGCTCAGGTTCTGTGGTATGCTCCAGGCCAGTGAAAGACTTTGTATCAGACAAGCAAGGTGGACAGTTCCTGAAGAGCAATCCCTGAGGTTGTCTTCTGGTACACACACACACACACACACACACACACACACACACACACGCATGCACGCACGCACGCACGCACACACACACACACACACGCACGCATGCACGCACGCACGCGCACACACACACACACACACACACACACACACACACACACACGCACGCACGCACGAAGGAATGGTTATGACTAATTCACATCGTCCACTCTGTTGCAGTCCGCACTATGCTAACTCTATGCTAACTCAGTCTCTATGGAACAGGTTAGGGACTCTGCGTGGCTTGTTTCCTTGGCCCCAGTTCCTTCCCACTGAAAAGGAGTGTTAGGAAATGGTGTCCTACAGTTCAAGGTCAAGGTGGTTCTGCTCACCATGATTCCCTTCTCTGAAGAGCTCTTCTAACCTCCAATATTCTACACTCCCGATTAACAGTACTGCTTCATTTAAATGTCCCAACCACTCAGCAGAAGCCTCTCCTGCCCAAACAGTTACAAGCCTCCATCCCTAACACTATACAAATAAGAGAAATGCAATAACTAGCACTTGAATGATGGGATAACTGAGTAAGAATGTCTGGACCACTGATGTCAGTTTATTAACTGACACTGGAAGGGGACTTGGTCCTTGATTTCAGTTCCATGTGGTGCACACGACACAAGGTGTGACAGCTGTTCACAAGCGTAGGCCAGACAATGAGATCCAGACACACAGGAAGCCTTGGAGGCTCATCGGTTTACGGGTTTACGGGGATAGGAAATTTCTCCCTGCTCTTCCCACCTCTGCGGCCTCCCTAGGTACTTTCCTGTTTCTTGAATGATCTCAGATGCCTTCCCACGGCAGGACCGCCTGAGTGGAATTCTCTCCTTGTCGCTGGCAGCAGTGGCTGTGAATAGGCCAAGAGTGCTGCAGTGGGCTTAAGGTGGGAGGGGAAAAGGTGAGAACCGATGACAGGTCTCATTTACGGGTGGGCTGCCAGGAAGGGAAAACTACACACAGGATGTACAAATGAGCGGTTTCCCGATGTTATGGACGGAAAACTCATGACAAAGGCATTCTGTCCTAATATATCTCAACATGTGTTCACAGGGCCAACCCTCTGGACCGGCCCTCTGGGAGTCCCTAGAATTTAACACAGGAGTTGTGGTTTTAGTATTTCCTCCGATAGCCAGAGTCATCATCTCTCTTTCTCCTTTTTAAACTAATGAGGGTTCCCCAAACCCCTTGTGTGCACGGAGCCTGTAGCAGATCTGGAGAATGAGATCAATTTTTAAGTAACAGTGCTTGGCAGGGTAACCTCTCCTCAGTACACATCTGGGTTACATCTTTTAGAATCTGAATTCCTTCACAAGAGTACCGATCTCATCCCAGCTCAAAATAGGTACTCATAAATATTGGACCAAAGCACCCACTTCTGGGGTCAAACAGCTTTTACTAATTAACAGCACAGATTTCCAGATGAACATCCACAGAGGTGCCTTAGATATTTCAAGAGCGTCTCATAATTGCATCTTCCCTCCAGATTCTTGAGAAGCTTCATGACCTTTCCACAACAGAAGTTGTTTCAAGATGTGCATAGATTCTAAGTTTTAATTTTTTAGGGCATCATGCCGCTACTATTTGGTAGGATTACTGGTAGAAGAGTGTTCTTTTCTTTTTTTTTTTTAACCTCACACATAGAACAGAAAAAAAATCTTAAATGTTTGTTTAGAAAAGAGCTCACCCTACCCCTTGATTGTTGTATGCTGTGTTTATCATTGTCCCAGTGTTTCCTGGTAGCATACAATCAATACACGATATGAACTTTTATTTTTGACAGCTCTGCGGACGTAAGCATGCCCAACGTCACCAAGAGCAGATATTTTATTGTTAACTGATGTTAGCCTGAGGTCTTCAGGGTTTCCTTCTTTTTCTGCTGGCACCTAGTTTACTTATTTTGTCACAAAGGAATGTCTGTCTGAGACTATTTCCAGTGTTTTTTCCAAGGGAAGGATGCTTTGTCCGTGAGGTAAGTCCAGTGCAGAGTGGTTGAAAACCCAGACTCACCCGGAGTTCATCAAACCTCGCGACTGCTGCTCAGCTGCATGAGGCTCCATGAGGGCAAGGAATGCAGCTGGTGTTCCGCTTCCTGAGGCTCTGTGGTACCAAGGGAGCATCTCCAATTCAGGAGATGCCTGTGGAGCACACCCCTGTACCTCCAAGGAAGCTGCTGAGCGTGGGCCCTTGAGCATTTCAAGTGTGTAATAAAACTTTTCTAATGCAGTGAAAGGACCAGGCTACCTTTGGTTTTTATTCAGTTCCTCTAAGAGAAAATGTCTCAGCAGCAGGTCAGAGGGCATGGGCAACACAGCTGATGGGACTCCTGGTCCTTTTGCCTCAACAATTTGACTATGAGCCCAGCATCAGAGGTAAGTGTGGTTTCTATTTCAAAGCTGTGGATTGAGAGATAGATAAGAGGTAATTTTTCTTTAAGGGAAGGATGCATTTTTGATACTCACATTATTCTGGAACAAGAAAAGAACACCCTTTGCATGGGTGTGTGTGTGTAATTACAGCAGATTCTAACCATAAGTGAGTATGGCATACTCTAAGCATGGGTGTGTAAGCTCAGCAGATCCTAGACATGGGTGTGTAAGGTCAGCAGATCCTAGACATGGTGTATAAGCTCAGTCGATCCTAGACATGGGTGTGTAAGCTCAGCAGATCCTAGGCATGGTGTATAAGTTCAGCAGATCCTAGGCATAGGTGTGTAAGCTCAGCAGATCCTAAGCATGAGTGTGTAAGCTCAGCAGATCCTAGGCATGGGTGTGTAAAGGGAAAGTCCCAGCCATGTACCTTAGCTAAAGAAATTGCGTTTGACTCTAGAAGAAATTCACTGTATACACTATAAGAGTCATTGGCCATCGGCATGCATGTTATTAACTGTATTTTTTCATCAAGATAGAAAGTTGCAAAGAAATAGGTCCCACCGTTATGATCCCTTTCTGAGTATCAAATTCTCAGACTATATATTTAGAGAGAAGCTGGATCTCACTCTGTAGCCCAGGCTGGCCTAGAGCTCACTATGAAGACAAGGCTGGCCTCAGATTGGCTGCCATCTTTCTGCGTCCACCTCCCAAGTGCTGGGATCCATCATGTATTTTCTCTCTTCTACCTTTGGTGGACTTAGAAGACCATGGTGTCAGCAGTTAACAACTAGGTCCATGGTTCTGATCTCAGCTGCACTGAATCCAGAGAAACCAGAAAGTGTAACCTGTTGCCTCTTTTTCTTTTAGTACTTAAATTTATGGCTCCAAGGGCATATTTTCTTAGTAAAATGATGAATCTGAAAAAACAAATTAAAAAAAGAATTTTCAGGTTTGTTTTATTATTTCATGTGTATGGGTGTTTTGTCTGAATGATATATATGTCTGTATACCACATGCATACCTGGTGCCTGAGGTCAGAAAAGGGCAGATTCACTGGGCCTGGAGTTAGAGATGGTTGTGCCCACCATGTGGGTGCTGGGAATCAAACCCCAGTCCTGTGCAAGAGCAACGCCTGCTGTTTACCGCTGAGCATCTCCCCAGCCCATTGGAAAGCCAAGCTCAACTTTTCAGCTGCCTTTTCTCTCTGGGTTCAACGGTTCATCTTGGTGGGTAAGGTGAAGTATTCTCTCTATCCAAAGCACTATCTTTTTCTAGCATAATTCAGGACTTAACACTTATGCTCGGGAAGCAAGTGGATGTAATCCCTGAGCTGCATGTCAGTCAGTTCCCGAGGGCAATGACTATAACAAAGAAGTCAGTAGCTTCTGCTTCACACAATGAATTTGTCTGCCAAGATTAACCTCCATCAGCATCACAAGTGAGGCAGGACAGGATTGAAAGCCACGTGTGTTTTCCACAGGTACTCTCTGGGGATTTGGAGTCCTGTTTGAAGGATCCAACGGAAAGGTCCAGAAAACCAAATACATAAAACCACACTAAGGTGTTTATTTTGTATATTCTCAAAGTTGAATGGAGAGAAATGCAGCAGCTCAAAGACTGGAGATGACTCTGTTCCAGTGCCCATTGTGAGTTTAGCATCAGAGTAGATATGATGAAGGGCAGATTAGGAGAGATAGGGTAAGAGGTTGTCCTGGGTTCTTTGGCCAAGCATTCTGGGGTAAGTAGTATCTGGTTTCAACCTCTCATTTTAGAAAAAACATCACTTAGAAAGTGCAATGGCTTAAATGTTGTCTCCAGGGTCCATATGTTTACAGCTTGGTCCCCAGGGTAGTGATTTTGGGAGGTGGTTGGGAAACCTTTAAGATGGGCCTAGTAGGAGATCCTTGTGCCACTTAGAGCTGAGTTCTCAAGAGGGATTGTGAAGCTTCACTGTTTTCCATGTGATAATGGGATCTCTTCCTCTCACACAGGCTCCTGCCATCCACTAGGAAGTGATCCTGCTGTTGTGTGGAGTGTTGTGGGGCCCCCTTGTAAGATGTTAGCCAGCTGTTTGGACTCACAGCATTCCCAGCTGTGGGATAAATAAGTAATTTCTTTATAAAGTTAGCCAGTCACAGGCACTTCATTATAGAATAAAAAACCGACGAATATGGGAGGCCTGATAAAAATGACAATTCTCCATTTGCCCTTTGAGATTTGTGAAGTTCAAGAAACTCATTTTATTTACTGCCTGGGTGTGTATATGGACTTCGCTGGAGGAACTCCGGGGTACCAGAGAGAACCTGGGTTTGTAGACGGTGACAAAAACATGCATATCCCAGCCCCACAGGTATCCTACATTTTATCTTGCTTGTTTGGAGACAGGGTCAAGCTCATGGTCCTCCTGTCTCTCCCGAGGGCTGATCTCACCCCATTTCCTGATGCCTCATCAGATGAAGTTATTCTGGTGTGAGACTTGGTTCATATCTAAAATGAGGGACTACTTTGACTGAAGGTAACATTTGTTTCTTGCAGATGTTAGAGAGTCTCCAGGCCCGTGGAAGAAACAAGATGATATGCAAATTGGATCTTGGAGTTCTGTCTCTGATTAGCTACAATTATTTCCAGAAGTAATCATGAATCACAACTAGAAATTTCAATTATCCTTGCTAAGACATGTCTAACCACTGTGACACTAAGTTGAAGGCCCTGGGTAACATGCACGCATATGTGTAGGTGTGCAGGTAGGTTATGTGTGTGTGTATATGTATCTCTATCTAGGTTCATGTATTTTATATATAAGATCTATGTCTGTATAAGTACTGTTTTAGGTATAGATGTCTACTGTGTAATACGCATTTGTAAACATGTACATATATAAATGAGTATATATCCATGCATGTTTTTGTGCATTGGTAGGTGTCTACATACATTTCCACAAATGCATATGTATGGATATGTTCTGTGTATGTATTCACTCTACTGTATAAAATAGAGCTGATACTTTCTTAATGCATTGCTCTGCATTAAGTTTGATTTGTCAAATCCAAATTTCTAATTAGCTGCTTACTTAAAAAACAGTGGCTGTCTTGTATGGCATTTTTCCCTAAAAAATCCATTCCACTGTTGTTGCTGCACAGCAGGCCCTTGAGAGCAGTCAAGGCTTTTGCACTGGCAGTTTGGATTGAGGTGTAAATCTTTATTTATAGAAATGAAGAATTTGTTTATTAACTTTTTTTTTGATGAGACTTCAGCCTGTGAATCTACTAATTGTTCCTCCCCGCTGTGAACATTAGTTACCAGGGGGAGTACGAGCTGCACGTGCTGCTGGCTCACAGGTAGGTGCACACGGTGGGTGGGGTGGTACGAGCTGCACGTGCTGCTGGCTCACAGGTAGGTGCACATGGTGGGTGGGGTGGTAGGAGCTGCACATGCTGCTGGCTCACAGGTAGGTGCACACGGTGGGTGGGGTGGTAGGAGCTGCACGTGGGGCTGGCTCACAGGTAGGTGCACATGCTGTTTCACTGCAGGATTCCACCCACTGTTTCTTTTAATGAGATATAGTAGGAAAATTCAAAACACTGACCTTCTGTGACGCATCAGTCACTGAGTGTGAAGACAGTCCATTCTCTGCACTGTCCAAATCTGGGGTTGCAAGCCCACAGTCAACTGCAGAAGACTTGATTTGTCTCATGTGGGCTGCCGTGACGCTGGTGGAGTCAACCTTTGCCACGAAGGAAGAAGGTATACTTCCCGTATCTCTAGGGCGGGATTGAGGTTTGTCTGCAAACCCTGCCGTAGTTAAATGTTGGCTCCCAGATGAGCTTCAGCAGGAGGGTTCTGATGAGCAAACCCAACCCATGTGCACAGTGCGGTGTCTGAGCTGCGTGCTGAGTGGTGGCCAAGGTAGTTCTGCTGAGGACAACGCCTGGGAATTCCTGATGGCTCTGGATGATGAGTCAGCCAGGAGTGGTTATTGATACATGCACGTGTGTGTGTGTGTGTGTGTGTGTGTGTGTGTGTGTGTGTGTGTGTGTGTGTGCATTTGCACATGTGTTCATGAGTGTGTCCAAGGGCATATGTAGACCTAGAGAATTGGGCTTGACTCTCATTTTGAATCCTGGTGTACACACTAAGGTGGGCTTTTGGAGTGAGAAGTCTGTTCTGTCTCCACTCACCCTAACATTTCCAGACATGTCTAGACCAGGGAGAGGGTGTCCCAACTGATAAAACCACATGTGGGCCTGGCATGGATATGGGGAGGAGAGTTTGGTTAAATCATTACAGCGTGGTATATTTTTTTATTTCCAAAAGTGGTCTTTGTCACTTTTCCATCCCAGCGGGAGGCAGGAATTGCAGTAAGGACCACCACAGAGGAATCCAGTGAGTTAGATATTTTTAGAAATTAAAAAAAAATGTGTATGGGTGTGTGTGTGGGGGGGTTGTTTGCTCTAAATTTGGAGATGTATATCAATGTGAATTCTTAACATTTCTGTCTTAGTTATCCTCTGAAATCCAGCTTATTAGAGCAAAGAACAAGACCTGGCAAATCTGAACTACTAGTGAATCCATAAATCATCTGTCTGAGGTCAGTGTCTCAAAGAACTACTCAGGCTATACCAATAGAGCTACTGTCCATTAAATATGTTTGAACATCATTAAGCCCCAGATATGAAATGTGAGGTGCTCCAGAGTCTACAGTTTTCTGAGCACATGCACATTGCCATAGGTGGAGACTTCCACATTTGGCAAGTCATATGTAGGCACACTGAAAACATTGTACTAGGCTGTGTAGGAATGGAATATATGAAAAACATAAAAATATTTCATGGTTAGACATGGGTCCTTTCTCACAATACCATTCTATGTATAGGCAAAGAGTCTTCCAAAATCTGAAAAAAAAAATCTGAAAGCCACAACACTTTTGGTCCCAAGCCTTTCATATCAGGGCTACTCAAGCCATATAACCAGTATAGAGCTCTGCATGGAGATGGCATTCCTTCTAACTTTCTGTGAACGGACTCTAATGGGTTGCTGATTGATCGGTGGGCCCAGCAATGGTAATACTGATGACCTGAGAGCTTTCATTGTAAGGGATGCTATGGGGAGGCAGTATTTTAAATGAGCTCATGCTCATCAAGACTGTAGTTAATATCTCGGTAGTTCTCCAATGATCAATCAGTGAGAAGATAAATAACTACAAGCAAGCCTGCAGCTCTGGTTCCAGAGCTAATGGAATTCTGAGAAGAACAAGGTGACATCAGCTCTCAACCCCACAAGCGAACGATTTAGAATCCAGCTTACAGCTATTAGGCCTTGGGGATACATGAACAGTCTATCAAGAAATTTCAGGGCTGGGGAGATGGCTCAGTGAGTAAGAGTCCTTGCTATGCAATCATAAGGACCTGAGTTCGAATCCCCAATACCGATATAAAAAGCTGGGCCTGTAACCCCAGTGCTGTGGGAGGCTGTGGCAGGAGGATCATCCTGGCTCCCAGTCTAGCTCTAGGCTCAGTGACAGACCCTTTATCAAGGGAAGAAGTCAAGTCAGAGATTGATGGGGTAGGACATCTGGTATCCTGCACACACACACACACACACACACACACACACACACACACACACTGCCACCACCACCTCCACTACCACCAACACAAGTCATGAAGTTATCAAAATGTCCAATTAACTCTTGATGGGGTCATCTTCACTTATTCTGGATTAATACAAAGCATTAAGAGTCATGCTGACAATTCAAAACAAGACTAAAGAGCGTCATGAAGCTCACAGCACTTCTGAGCATTGGAGTTCACGGCTGAGCATTACTAGGGTTCCTGCAGAAATTTCTTTGTGCCTGGGCCTTGGAGCCCGTCTCCAGGGCAGTTCCCACTGCTGCTGCCTCAGCTCCTCATCTCTCACTGCTGCTTTACTCCTGTTTCTGCTGCACCACATCAATAACTATAAATAATAAATCACCAGTCCATTTCCACAAGCCACTAGTCACACTTCTTGCTTATGACTTGGGACTGTTTTATCACTGTGTGTACCTGTGTCCCATGGGAGTAGGGCCACAGTGTTGTTCCACAGGATTAGATCTAGTGCTATGTGCTCCAGCTTGAATGCCCTCAGGATATAGATTTAATTTTTTCATTAGCGGGCAGTGTACAATGCATGTAACATACTATAATCTCCCTCACCTTCTGTCACTGCTGTTGATTACCTTAAATTCACCACACCTGGGTCCAGTGGTGGCGGGGCACGTCTTTAATCCCAGTACTTGGGAGGCAGAGGCAGGTAGATCTCTGGGAGTTGGAGGCCAGCCTGGTCTACAGAGCGAGATCCAGGACAGTCAAGGCTACACAGAGAAACTCCGTCTTGAAAAACCAAAACCAACAAACAAAAACAAAAAACCAAAAAGATATCCCAAACCCCCCAAAACAAAAATAAACCCAAACAAAAACAAAAACATAAACCTCAAACAAATCACCATATCCATCCATCCATTCATCTATTACCCACACATCATCCATCCATCAACTACCTGTATTTGCCTATCATCCATTCACCAATCATTCACCCACCTACACATACATACATACATACATACATACATACATTTAATGTGTATTGAATATAAATGTATGACATAAACTCTGCCGGCACATGGAACACGAAAGCAAAACTGCCCTGTGAGCAGAGGCTCCCAGAAAGAGCCCAGGCCGCACTTGTACCAAGGGCAGCTGTACTGTAGTTTCAGCTGCCTCTGCATACAGTCTTTGCTGCGGTTCACTTTACTTGAATGTCACAGAGATCCTCTATAGTCTTCAAAGTGTGGCCCCGAGAAAGCAGAGGGTGCAGGTCTTACTGGATTGCTTCAGAGGTGCCGGTGCAAGGTGACAAGGTGACAAGAAGGGCTTGGAGGTGAGGACCCAAGATCTTGAGATGTCCTAGTGAGACTCCAAGTCTTCCTGAGACAGGAAACTGTTTACAGACAGAGTCAGAGGCCTGGACATGTTCTCAGGAATTGCCTGCTAGAGTAATTGTCCAGGAGAAAAGAGGACACTGTAATTTGTCCAAGGTCACAGCAATAACCAGAGGCCAAACCAAGAATAAGGCTCAATTTCCTGCCTGGGGCTATAGCCTTCTCTTGGTATCTGTTACTGTAAGTTCCTGGAACACAGTTATTGATTCGCTTTCCCTCTGTAGTTCTGTGACTTACCTAACTCCCAGTCTCTGACCTGTTAAGCCAGTCCTTACGTCATCCAAAGGCATCCTCCACTGTCCTTGCTTTCTCAGTCTTGAATGATGGAATTTTGGCATGATATGATAATTGAAACGCAAGCAGACATGCCATCTCGTTTATACCCGGTGCTGTTGGGGCACTCAGGAATCTCTGACCTTCCTGCATGTTTTCCAGCCTGTCAGTACCAGCAGGGCTGCTGACTTCCTGCTCAGTGTGGCAGTTTTTGGGAAAGTGCCAGCTTGCTCTGGTTACAGCTGCTGAACCAGGACACATATCAAAAGTGAGACAGCATTGTGAGGAATTAATCAAATTAGAGATGGTGCTGTCCATGAGCAGATCAGAGCATCCGAGACAAAAATCCCAGCAACAAATGGGTTTAACCTGCCTGCGGAGTCTCCCCAGGGGACAAGTTTCTTCTGGGTGGACAGTGTGTGTCAGATCTAGGCACAGTGCGTCAAGTGGCAATCTGAAGTAGAAACTGATTAATTTTCTCTTGGGTTGTTTGTGAATCTGCAGATTGTCAATTTTCCCCGTCAGAGGCACCAGACACACGAGACAGGAGAACCCTGGGAGTCGGCCCCCAGTGGACATTTTGAGATTGGCAAGTGTTTTTAAATGAGGAATGCTGTTATGGAAAGCCTGGTGGATTGAGGATGGGACAGCCTCCATCTGGGTGCACTTGATGATGAAGGCATGTGCTGGCTGCAAGGCTCTGCTCTTGACCACAGCTGTGCCTCTGCTGAGGCTGCCACTGGGCTGAAGAGCTGTGGAACAATGAGGATGCTGCTCCAGGGACCTGACACGTGGAGAGACATGGAAACTTGTCTGGAGTGGCGTCTCCAGCTGCAGACACTTGGTTTTATAGAAAAGTAGTCTGCTGTGGCTTGCCAGTGTTGTGGAGAGGAGGTGTGGTGGGGTTTCTCATCTGAGGCGAGCTGACTGATTCTTTTGTGTACCACAGCGGAACATGCACCCAGATTAAAGTGTTCATCTTGCCGGGGAAAATGTGCATCTTATGGGCACTGAGGGAAATCATCTCATGGCATATTAATCCAATCTCCAGGACAGCTACTCTGATGCTTCTGGCTTTAATGTCAGGTAGAAAAGCAGATGTAGCTGCTCACTCTGGCAGCTCCCTCATGGACGGCGGCATGCTTCATCCCAGTGTGTTTGCTTTGGAACACACCCACATATTTTAACTCACACAGAATTCTGAATACTTCACAAAAGCAGTGATGTAAACTTGCGTTTCTGAAATATGTTGTGATGTTTACACCAGCACTCTTTCCCCCTAAGGTGGCGATTCCCCGAGTTCAAGGTCAGGCTCCCTGAGAAAGTCCATATTATATTTCGTTGTTTTGTGTTTATGTTAAGGTCAGAGCAGGTCTTGGGGCATTTACAATGCTGATATTATGAGTAATTTATCAAGGGATCAATAAAAAATCATGGGACTTCAAAAAATGGAAGTCAATGTTGCTTCTGGCCTGGCTAGGGAAAAAACAAAACAAAACGCACATTTCAGCATGAAGAGTCCCCAGAGAGCTGTCTGTCTGTTGAGTTCCCTGAATCAGAGACAGGAATCATTCAGAGCTAAACACATAGCTCTGAATGAGCTCTTTAGAAGTTTTGTCCATAATTGGTTTGAAGCATGTGCCTCTGGAGGGTCCAGGCTGGTCCCTGGGACAGTTGTGGGAGTTGATATGTCACAACCACTTTAAGTACTGCAATTTCCGTGTTCAGCAATGATTTTTGTCGTGTGAGTATGAGTGACACACACGTGTGTGCATACAAATACACACTCATGAGGTAGGGTATGTGCATGTATCTATTCCCCATTAAAGGACTCATCTACCTCAAAGTTCTTTGAAGTGAGCGATTTCATAGTTGACAGCAGCTAAGCATGCAGTTTGCAGATAAAGAGCATTAACACACCCAGACACTAACTTTTTCGTGTTCTTCTGAGACTCTTCCTGCTTCATTCCCTTGCAGAGATGTGGGTGGCAAAGAAGCAGAAGAGGCTGGGGAGATAGTTCGGTGAGTAAAGCATTTCCTGTGCACAGTGAGGACCTGAGTTTGAACTTAGGGAAAAAGCTGGATGTGGTTGCACGCCTCGTTAATCCTCATGGGCCAATGGAAGGGTGGGAGAAGGAGACCCAGAATTCCTGAAGCTCACAGGCCAGCTAGCCTGTCATTCACTGCAGCAACTAACAGAGGGACCCTGCCTCAAACAAGGTGGAAGAAGACAACAAATGCCCGATGTCCTCCGCCTTCCACAAACACACTGTGGCTGTGTGCACCTGCATTTACACCCTGTCCTAAAGGTACTCCTGGAAGGAGGAGAGGACCATAAGAAACACTGGCTGCCAACTGACTGCGCTGTGCAGGATGCAAAGACCCTAGAGAGGAGTCGACCCAGATCCTTCTCTTGTGAGGGAGAGAACTGGAATGGAAGGGTCCAGAAGAAAAAAAAGTTTTCTTTTGATTTGAGTTTGAGACTTTTTGTTTGTTTGTTTTGTTTTGTCGAGACAGGGTTTGTCTGTGTAGCTTTGGCTATTCTGGGATTCACTCTGTAGACCAGACTGGCCTTGAACTCATAGAGATCTACCTGCTTCTGTCTCCTGAGTGCTGAGATTAGAGGTATGTACCCCCACCACCCCATAAATTTGAGACTCTTAATTGTCAGTTGTCTAGGAGGAAATAGACAACTCTTGGGGCTGCTGGAATACTCATCCAGGGGGCAGGGTTGGAGTGGGACGGGCAATACGCTCATGCACTGCATTTTATTCATCAGAAAAACAAAAATAAAAATGCAACATGAAGATGTTACAGGCCATGTGCATCCAATAGATCAGATTTGCTGACAGGAAGTTAGCAAAGGGCATTTTCCAGAGGAAACCCAGTTCACCTTTTGTCTTAGTTTGGCCTCTGCACTTGCTCACAAGTCTTGGTTCTTTCTATGAAGCCTGAAAACCAGCACTCCTGGCCATGCCAAGCACTTCTCAGAATGTTCTGGGAGTATGAGATTTTGAGATTCTACCCATCTCTCCCCTTCTCCACTTGGGCCGGCGGTAGGATGGCAAAGGATCATGATCCTTCAGCAGCCTTTCTGAGGCAGATCCGTCTCACAGGCTTGGAGTGTTCCAATAAGCAAGAAGGAGGCAGATTGTGGAGTCAACAGCCCACTTGAAAAATAGAAGAAAGGCTTCATCAGAATTTCCTGAGAAGATGCCAACTGGAGCTTGGGGGTTTGGGAAGGTGCAATGAGTCTTCTCCCCTCATGTCATTCTCTAGCTCCCCTCTGGAGGCTCCAAAGCCTTGGGAACGACTGTTTAGCTGTGTTGTCTTTTGTTCCTAAGACGCCCTTTCCCCCAGTGGAAGCAATCCCAACCATCTGCAGTCAGTTCTCGGGAGTCAGAGGCAAGGGTTTGGCATGGCCAGGCCTGCAGCTAGAGAGTGCTGAAGGGGTGTCTGAGCACCCGTCTACAGGACTATAGAGGTCGAGGAGAATGTGGACTGTTAGGTCAGAATGGCAGCAGAGAGATGGTCAAGAGCACTGAGTAGATAACAGAGAATCCTTCCTCCCGGGGCCAGAACTGCAAGCCAGGCACTTTGTGACTTTGTAAATGATTTTCTTTTCTTTCTCTCCCTTTTCTGGGAGCTGAAGATGATCCCTTAATGCCGGATTTCCCCATCTTCTGTGGCAATCTGCTTACACCTTCCTGCTACGGGTGCTGAGAGGACTGTCACCTACTGGACCCACCACAGCGCACCAGCTCTGTTTGCTCAGAAGATGGCAAGGGAAGTAGGAACAGCAGCGCCACTTGGAACTGAGCAGAGTTGGGAACTTTTGGGAGGTGGGAAGTGTCAAGAAGAGACTAACTACACTGGATGGAAAGTGAGCGAGCCAGGATGCGTTCCCTGGGCCTCCCCTGTCCATCCTTGGCCCGTCAGCTTGGCTTGAGTTCCAGGAGCAGCTGTCACTAGTGTGTGGCCTCTGGTCAATGCCTTTCATCTCTCAGGGCCTCTGCATTCACATCAGTGAAAGGAGGGTAAAAATAATGTTTACCTCACAAGACTGTCGGGAGTGACTGTAGGGAGCAGGCTTCAAAGGGTGCCGGTCGGTCTGTTGCTACACATCTGTAAACTGCTATAAGCTCTTCATTTTCTGTATTCCCTGATTTGTGTAGATGTAAGGACAGAGGGTAGTTTATACCAAGGTCTCCACTTGGCTGTTTGCTTGGGATTTATAGCACTATGTCCCGTCCACATTCTTGTGCTAGGGACTGGACTTGGGGCCATCCCCATGGCCCTCTGCACTGAGCCCCAACTATCAGACAACATCAGAGAGCTACCGATGAAAGGGATGTTGATGAGAATGGGAATCGTTACACACTCGGCAGCAGATTCACGCTTGTTCACTAACTGATTTGTTTAAAGACGACGCTAGAAAATTTACAGAAAATTCTCCCCTTACGGCACCTACAGTCATTTTGTCCATTCATTTCTGTTAAATCCAAATAAATGGAACAAATCAGAAGTAGATGGCCTAGGAAAAATATTTTGTTTGCAACATTCAGCTGCTCTGCTAAGAAAGGAATCTCACCAAGCACATTCATGTTGCCTGCCGACCCTCCGAGCACAGGCACACTCATTTGATTTCACCTTCTTCACCCAAGTTTGCTTCTGAAACCACATGGCGTTTTGTCTCCCGTTGTGAACAGAGGGTCCCTGCTTTAAGCTTACACTGAACACTTTTACCTCATGGCATAGACATGTAGCACTGGCTGCTTTGACCGGCATACTCCAAATCTATTTAATTTGGAGAGCTCAAGGTTTATGGATCACATGGCTGCAGACTGGTTTCTGGGTTTTTTTTGTGGATGAGTTTTAGCTCACAGTGTATTTATATCTGTTTCGTTTTGGATGCTATTTAACACATCAAATGAAAACACATTTTTCGTTTGTCACCTGGGCTTCATTGGGGTCTGTGAGAAGTGTGCAACAGATTTTCAAATCAAGGAGTGTGGCAGGTGATGTGCTGTCTTTGGTCAGTCGAATTCTCTTGCAAGGAGAATGGCCCACTTAGAATTCTGTTCTTCTTACAGGGGCTTAGAAAATGCCCGTGGCTTGAACGTTTTCGGACTGGCAAGGTCCCAGACCTTCAGTGCTCCTCACTGAGTCCACTAGTCCCCAGACGTCCGAGGTGACAGCAGATGTCAGTAACAGGAAAATGACAAAGCCCACTTCTCACTGTGAGAGAACTTCCTGAGGACCCAGGTCAGACATTCGCTACTCTGGGCTGCAGTTTTCTTATGGCCCAAATTAGAAGTTTATTCTGACTACAAACAAGGACAACACTAGGTGGTGGTGGTGGCGGCGGCGGCGGCAGCGGCGGCGGCGCCTTCAATCCCAGCACTTGAGAGGCAGAGGCAGGCAGATCTCTTAAGTTTGAGGCCAGTGTGTAGTCTATAGTGTGAGTTCCAGGACAGCCAGGGCTACACAGAGAAACCCTGTCTCAAAAAACAAAATAAAACAAAACAAAACAAACAAAACAGGAATTACCAATCCTCAAGGTTCTTTTACAGCACTGAGTTTCCATCTATGTGTTCCAAGGTGGCAAGCCACTTGTTACACAGGGTACCAAGCCCTTCTCATGTGGCTAACTAGCCTAAATCCCAACATACAAGAAGTGTGGACTGCAACCCACATTCTGAAGATCAACTATAGGAAAAAGAATATAAAATCTTTTGGGTATATTTGGTTAAATAAAGTATATTAATCAAGTGAGCATTACCCGTTTACATTTGTGTACTATGCTACTAGACAATTCACACCACATCACACGCATGGCCTCCATGACTTCAGTACCCTGAAAACAACAGGATCAAATCAGTCTTTAGGGAATCTCAAATGTCTATGGCTCAATGTTTCAATCTGAGATTCTTACACCATGAAAGCATGGTGCGTGATGCTAAATTCCTCTCGTGTTACTTCTGTGGAAGTCCTGTGGGAGCACTGGAGTGCTCAGCAGCTAACATCTGCAGAAGCGTCTCCACGCTATCAGGAAGTAGAGCACGGTGGGCAGGTGAGATGGTTCACCCGGCAAAGGCTTGCCACCAAGCCTGACCACCTGAGTTTGATCCCTGGAACCCCCACGGTGAAAGGAAAGAACAACTCTGCTAAGTTCCCCTGTGACCTCCACATGCGTCCTGTGATACACGAGCACACTCACCCCCAAACAATACATGTAAAAAAAGAAAAAGAAAAAGAAACTAGAGTGTATTATTAAAAGTGATTATTTCTGGATTGTGATACCCTGCCTAAGGTCTTTTTGAAAATTTTTTTTTATCTTTCAATCTTCCAATAATTAAGATTATAGTTAATCAGAAAAATACCAGTCTTTACATCTTAGCCTTTTTTTTTTATATAGATTCTAAGAAATCTATCACAAATATGTAAAAAAGAAGTTGACTTCACTGGAAATAACCCAAGATGATTCAGTTTGCCTTTATACTTTTGCATAGTGAATATATTGCTTCTACCAAGAGAAAGAAATATACTTTATTAAAAACTCCATTTTCCACCCACTTTTAATTTCAAACTTAACTCAGTTAATTTGCATGCTGATTTTCTTAGAACTCCCAAGGCTTTTATCTCCTACTATATTTGACTAAATAGTAGGTGCTTTAGATTTTAGCTTCAATCTCAATGCTCACACAGATATTTAGATATTTTTATGACAATTACCAGCAAACAGCACAGGACTTAGTGACTATCTATGTGGGATAGCCAGGAAACATCTCTAGATGCTCATCTAAAGGCATACCATAAACAACAGCACACACTGTGGTCCAAGCTACTCTGGAGGTCGGTGCACCATTCCATCTCAGATATTGGGATTAGCTTAGGCAACATAATAGGATTGTGTCTTTTAATCAAGTCAAATCAAATAACTAAAGTAAAGATGTGCTGCGTACAACCGAGTACCCCAGCAACGGGAAAGCTGCTGTTGCACACAGATTAGACCAGCTTCTACACACACAGACGAACTCAAGAGGCGAGTGCCCCCCTTATGTGCCCGTGCACACAGATACGATGTAGGAAGCTGTGTCCCTGACATTTGCTTCTCTTACCTGCTTTCTGATGTCAGAAGCCATCACAGCCAGAAAGCAGAGATCCATGAACGCTATTGTTCAGCTTTCTGCTTCCTTTTTATTTAGCTAAGATCCCAGCCCCTGGTGCGATGCCACCCATAAAGAGAGTCTTCCCACATCAATGAACTTAATCTAGACAGTCTTTCACAGGTATGCCCAGACACTAACCTAATCTAGATATGCCTTCACAGGCTTGCCTACGGGCTGTCTCCTAGGTAATTCTAAATTCTATCAAGTTGATAACACCAACCATCACACAGTGATGGTGTTATTTGTTCTCCAATCCCTGTGAGGCAATAACCCTGTTGGTGATGGTCCTTTGAAACACGGCACTTACTGTTAGTTGTAAAGATGGCTTCTCCTTCCTGGGGCACGGGGTCTGGGTCCTGGACCACCTGTAGGGCTCCCACTGTCCTCACAGCAGGGTCCAAAGTGACCGAGCTTTCGTTTACTGTGGTATCACTGGCGCCTGTGATCTGATTGGTTGGTGGGCCTCCTAGAGAGCCCTCAAAATCAATGGGCAAGTCGTCCATGCAGTCGGCATTGGGCTGAGGAGAACAAAAAGGATCCATCTTAGAGCACGTTCTTGTGTTAGAGACACAATGTCTGCAGCCTAAATATTTTGTCTGAATGTAAAATTAAGCTCGTTGTTCTACTGTTTTGTTTTTAAGCTGCTTTATTTAAAAATGTTTCTCTGTAGGTTCATATATATGTAGTTTTATTGTTATGAAAACATCTTCCCCCATTTACTTTCTAAAGGTTCTTTTTAGATATAAGTGTAAAGATTTAATTCCAAGTGTACCAAAATCTCTATATTTAGATAACTAGTTAAGAGGAGTACATGATCTTTATTTATAATGATAAAACTAGGACTTCCTTTTATATAGAGAGTTTATTCCCCCACACAGGATGGAGCTAGCAGCCTGCTAATTATCGTCAGTCTTCTGCATTGTTTACAAATGTGATATGGAAGTGAGAGGGAGCAGATCTTACTCACTGGGAGGATACATGCACACACACACACACACACACACACACACACACACACACACACACAGGGTGAGGCTACTTTTAAAAAATATAAGCCAAAAATCAGCTGTAGAAAAATATTTCTATGTACTTAACATGGGATTAGTCACATATTAGATAAGTCCTTCACTCCCTTCTCTTCCAGATGGGCCTCTGTCTCTGTTTTATTGAAGACTCCTCGAGTGGTCTCCAGTGTGTAGTCTTGGCTACCTGACTTGCTATGAAGTTTTCTCTGTCTGTCTGTCTGTCTGTTTGATTTGTATGTTGACTTCTCTGTCATGAAGGATGGCAATTCCATGTTTTCTGCTCCCAGAGTCTGCAAAGCATGACAGCCAAAGCCAAGGAAAGGAATTCCAGGTTTGCACTGAATGGGCACCACATTGGTACTCACTGTCCCTCTGCTTGGGATGACATATGCCTACTGCCCTCCTGTTCCCTTCTTAAGGTTTCAACCTGATCCCCGGGGATTGCTAATCTCTCTTTAATTCCCAACAATGCCACCATTTCTAAGGAGGGCTCTCTCCCAAGCAGTGGTCTCTGATCCTGTAGTGCCTCATGTGGCACTTGGGGTTGGTGGTCAGTTGTCACTGTCTTGATCTCTTGCCACTGGCCACAAGAGTCATAATGAGCAGCATCATCTTGATTTCGATTCCCAGGCTTCCATGTCATGCCACAATGATTAGATGCTCAGTAAATATTGATTTGAGTGTTTTATCTGAGTCTCAGATTTCTACTCTCAAAACTTGGCATATTAGAATCTTGCCAAGATCAATGACAGGAGGGTTTTAGAAAATACTTTAAGAACTATAAAATCCTGTGCAGAACTGAGATATGCTTTGTATTTACTAAACAAAATACTTAAGGGCAGGGTGTTGGGTGGAAGAGGCTTCAAGAAGGACGGACAGCACTAATCGCTGGCGCAGACAAACAGCGCAGTGCATACATATGCAACAATGACTACTAGTTCAGTCTTTGAAACTGTGACTCTGTTCGGTGGTTCTCGATTTCCGCGCTCCGGCTTTGGTTCAGTACTCTTCAACAAAGTTCTTATTTGTGGGTCAGGAGAACCTTTGCTCTACTCTTCACGGAAAAGTGGGAGCAGATGGTGAGGATCACTGGCTACAGGTGCAACAACTTCGGCTTGGATGTAACAGGTAATGGATCCACCTCCCAGAACCTCCCAATTTATAGTGAATCTACGTGGATAGTCAGAAATTCTTCTAACTCTTGAAAAAAGCCCAAATCTTACTGTTTTAAGACTATATCCAAGGCTGTTTGCTAACAACCTGTGTCTAGGTGCTGAAATTCAGGTAGCATGAGGAAAGCCACCAGATAAATCAATGGCTAACAGTTAGAAGCTCATGGCTGCTCTAGCTACACAGGGTTTTCTGTTCAACGGTGATTGGCATCCTGTTCACATCTGGAGAACAGTGATGGTGGATGGTGTTTCCCGGCCTCACATCTGGCTTCAATGAGAGCTGGGAGGAGGAGGGTTCACGAAAACTACTGTTCTGTAAGGGAGGCCTGCCCCAGATGGGTAGGTGGGGCTGCACGGTAGGGCAGGGATAGAAACTTCTGGAAATAACAAAGCCTTCCACTGTAGTTCACTTTATAAGCATATGAAGGTCTCATATGCTTATAAAGAAAAATAAAAGAAAGAAAATAAAAGAAAAATAAAAAGACCCCTTCCTTCTCCCTTTAAGATTTCTTTTGACAAAATGTTATGGGAAAATATGCATTGCTATGAGGATCTCATCAATCATGAGATGTGCTTTCACTCTTTAGCCCATTGTGGGCAAAATACAAAATACAAAATGTTGTCCCCAGCTCTTAGATTTTGACTCATGTTTACCTGTTGATTACCACAGGTGGTACACATGCACTGAGCTAAAAATAACAAAAATACAAACAAACCTAGTGCACCCAATCTGTGTGTTGAATAATAGAATTGTCAAAAATCACACCGAAGTCATTCTCGAGCTGACACCCTTGCAAGGAGACTTGGGGTGTAATTCCTAAGTGTGACACTGAGACTGAGAGCGTTTGAGACTCTGAAGGGCTCCAGCTCTACAAGATCCCTCAGTGGAGTCAGGGATCTGGAGGTGAGGACCAGCTGATGTCAGTGTGCAGGAACGGCCTCTTCCCCATGGTCCTTAAATGATAGGTCCCTAGGTCAGTATGGGGGTGCACACCTGAGTTCCAGAGATCTTTGGGAGCCTGAGGCAGGAGGATTACGGTTTGAGACTAGCCTGGGTTGCCTAGACATAATATGTAGTAAAGTAAGCTAAATGAAACTAAACTTGAATTTAGAGTATAGGGAAAAAATTAAGACAATGTCTTTAAACTGCCTTTGTGACGTGTCTGTAAAAGAAATGTTTCTTAATTAACACAGCTGTGTGCTGATTCAATCATGTGCAAAGTTCAACAATAAAACAAATTATTGCATTGATGCATTTTAGGCATAGTGCTCCCTGATAACAGCATGATGGGGTGGAACCAAACCGCAAGTTCCTCCAAGACCCTGAATCTGTCTTCACCAGGACAAAAGAGAGCCCTGGGAGGCAGAGGAGTGGCCATATGCCGTGATGCTTCCACACAGTTCATGTGTCTTATTCTTCACAGGGATGTTCTGTTCTGCGGGGTGAGTGTGGATGTGTCATGCTCTTCAGCAGGCTCTTCAAAATCCTTGGCAGAGCCAAAAGATGCTACCGATGTTTATTTTTCTGGGAGCTGAGTGTGCTAAGTCAAGTCTCACACAGACTTGTCAGGCATTGGAGTTTCAGCCAGAGTGTCCAACTGCTAAAAGTTAAAACGTTATTTAGTTTGGGAGTACGCCAAAAGGCCACTCAGTATTTCTATTTTAGAAACAATTAACATCAATATTTGGAATTCAGTTATAAGTAGCTTCTGAAGAAATTATACTTCCATGGGAAGAAAATCTGGAACCAAATACTCAGCACAAAATTTAAGTACAGAGCAAGGGTTTCTTTCTCGTCCTGACCAAAGGGAGAAGGGCTGACAGGAAGGCTGTGAAGCTATCCTGAGTCACAGGAAGTACGTGAAATGATGCACATGCGTAAATGCAAACACATAAATACACTTATATAAGCACATGTGTGTGAACACATACACGCAAGCTCACAATGCACACATGAAAGAACATACATGCACACATGTCAGCACACACTTACACACATGCAAGCCCATTCATGCATGGACAAAATGATTCCCATACACACACTCAAGTGAGCACATGTGTGCATTATACAAGTGAGAGACGAGGAGTTGACAGATTCCCTTGTAGGCAGACCGACAGGGAGAAGGGTAATAAAGGGTGAATCCCCAAGATGGCCAGCCTTTTCCTCCTATGTTTTCCTCCTGTCTCCCTGTGTACTTCTTGGATTTGGTGGCCTGGCTTGTTTGCTGTCCTCATGGCCCAGAGAGGATGACACCCAGCAGATGGTGTCTCATCAGCTCCCACTTGACGCAGTCTGGGGAAAGCCTTTCCCCAGAGCATCTTCCTGATGGCATTTGTTTCCCACCAGCAGGCCCTGCGGACGGACCAGCCAGGCCAGACATTATCACGCAGCAGTTGGGGGTCAATCAACCATCCTATCTGTCTTCAAACTGACCAACCCTAAAGTAGATGAGTAAACTCTTCAGAGGCTTTAAAACCCCCAGGCCTGGAGAAGAGACTGGATTTTTGCTTTTCTGAGTCCCCGCTCTGCTGTGAAGAGGGTCTTTTTCTCTGTGTGTCTGCTATGTGCATGTGTTTCTTCATCCCCAATAAACACCTTCCTCCAACAGCTGATTCTGTCTGCATAGCATGAGATTTCTCTGCTGCTACCTGTTTGCTTCAGGTGTTTCCTACTTTTAAGTCTTTTAACTGACAGAGAAAATGAACCCGACCAAGACCCACAAGGACACAGTGCACACATGCAATAATAGACATGCACATGTACACATCCAGTTACACACACACATCCATGCATCCATGCAATCACATACACTTGGTGTGCAAACATGTACACATTTTTCTTCTCCCTCAAAGTAATCAGTTACAGCCAGAGACGTGAAAGGCTGTCACCAGTCTCTGGTGGATATGGATTTTTCTCTCATGTTCCACATCCACTGTGAATGGTTTAGCCTTGAAAGCACTGTGCATGCACAACTCTGGTCTACAGTTCAGCTCAAAGCTCCAGTCTCTTGAGTGGATTTATGTTTGGTGGATCAGCCACCACTGAGGCAGCTGACACAGGGCAGTCAAGCCAGCCAAAGTAGATTCTTAGAACACTCCTGGGCACATTGTCCGACGGAGTCCTCAGATATTCCTAATAGCCCTTCGGCATGCAAGAGCACTCTGATACGTGGTGTGGCCCTCATTCTTTAGTGGCATTCTGGGACCATTAGCATTCTCTTTACTCTTTGTCATAGCAGGGGGAGGGGCAATAGACAGGTGGCAGCAAGGAGGGGGTGGGCAGGCAGGGCTGAGCTGTTTCTGCATTCGCTTTGGAGGCTCCTTTTAGACAGTGCCTATGTTTTCCTCACATCTCCCCATGTACTTCCTGGATTTGTTGGTCTGGCTCCTTTCCTGTCCTCCTCGGCCCAGAGAGGACGACACCCAGCAGCTGGTGTCTCATTAACTACCACTTGTGATGCTCACTTGATACAATCCTGGGAAAGACTTTCCCTGGAGTGTCAAGCCAGCTGGCAGGAGGCTGACCCTAGGGAGAGCACTAAATGTCAGAAAACACATGACTTTGAGAAGCAGCTTGATGGCAGGGTTGGATTTAAGTGGATTTGACTTCCTCTTTGCTCAAAGTCTCCAGAGATGTGAATTTAGAAGACACTCTGAGCTGCATTCTTGGTCCCCTCCTCCCATGGATGGGAGGGAATACTCCCCACTGAATGTCTGGAGATCAGGAAGCGGCAGGCACCCCAACTGTGGCATGTAGCTCTCCTTGAGGACGGTACGGTAACCAGAGAGGTCATTAGTGCTCTCCTGACACATTGTACCTCCTCTGCATCTCACCTGCCCTTGAAGAGATGTACCTTCCTTGACTCACAGACAAATGGTGGACATGGTGTGGTCAGACACAGAGGAGGTGAAGGGAGAAATGTCCGAACACAGAGGCCACTGGGTGATGCCAACAAGGGGATGTGGACAACCCAGGGAAGATGCAGCTTTCTTCCTGCTTTGGGGGCATGTGAAAAGACAGACAGGGCAAGGCTACAGGCTGAGCTGTGCTTACCGGGATCCCTAGGGCTTTAAGAATGTTCATCTTGCACATGGGACAGGTGCGATGATCTAGAAGCCAGGGGTCAACACAGGACTTGTGGAAAAGATGCCTGGAATGAGAACCATACGTCTTAGAGCAGTGGTAACCAAGGCACTCCCTAGACTGTTCCAGCCCACTGACCTGTCCAAGGTTCCTCAGCTGACGAGGAGCAAACCTAGGACTTTTGGACTAAAGCATTTCTTTGTGCTAATTGAGCTCAAATCTGCCTGGACTGTAAGAGTGTCCCATAAGGATTGCAACCGACTCTTCCCAGGTTTTTAGGAAAAGGTGGAGGCTGTAGAAACAGAGATCTCCCCTTCCTTAGTGGCAAGAAGGCAAGAGGGAGAAACTCCCCTGCAGGACGACTTGGTAAAGGCTTGTGTCCCCTTCTCCCACCACCTGAAAGTTTACTTGGCCACCATCAGAAGACAACTCCAAAGTAAAGGCCGACTTCCCTTCGTGTTTGGATGCTGACCACAGAAGGGCATAGGAGCTCCTGGAAACAGTACCACAAAGGACACATGAAGCTGTTCTGGTGGACTAGTGGCTGTCAAGTCAGAAGACGGAGTGAAAGGGCCTGTGGTTTCACTGCGGGTGACACAGCACTATATTCAACTGTATTGCCAGTCTCAAATGCCAGCCGTTATAAGACCTGGTCAGCCTGGCAGGGGAAGGGCATATGAAGACAGTATCCTAGCTGAACTTCCAACATGGCTCACGAGCTGGCTCGGAGACTCCATGGGCTGTTTACATCAAAAGATTTCTCACTCAAAAGAACTCCCACGGACAGAAGGTGTTAGGGCTTCCCACCTGGGTCAAGATGAGCCAGAACTTTCTATTTTCAGTGGGAAGGCTCATTTAGAACATTCCATCTCTGTCTCGATCTTTTCAGTTCCATAAAAAAGTGCTCTAGCTAACTAGAGAGGTTCAGGAAGCAACCAGCCTGTAAACTGTAAAGTGAAATGCAGACGAACTCAAATTCTGAGGATGACTAAGCGGTCTCTGGGATAGGACCAGGACTGAGAGAGCTCAGTTGATGATGGTTTTGCTGTACAAGCTTGAGGACCCAAGGTTGATTCCCCCCACCCCAACTCCCCAGTGTGTGTAAAAATCCAGATGTGTTTGTCTTCTGTGCACACACTGGTGAGGCAGAGGCAGCTGGATCCCCGGGGCTCACTGGCCAGCCAGCTTTGCCTAAAGAACGGCAAGCCCCAGGTCTCGGTGAGAAATCATGTCTCAAAAAAACCAAGGCAGGCAGCTCCTGAGGCACAATGCTGGTGGTCGACCTTAGGCCTCCACAAGCACTCACACACACACAAACATGCACACTTCCAAACCCTGGGAAGAGCAGATTGGGGCTTAGAAAGGGAAGAGCAGCCCTGGGGCTGCATGCTTCTGTTTCCAGCTTGCTGCTCAGGACACCCTGCAGGTCCACTTCTCAGGAGCTTGATATCACGCATTTGTTCTTTTAATGAGGATTTATGCCAACAATCGAGTCTAACACTTAGGACTAGTACTGAGAGTGCTGGTGACCAGTTCCTCTTCTAAGGCAGAGGCTGATGAAATAAATACCTAAAATAAAGCCAAATGTGAGTAGATTACTTGTTGAAAATTACCTGATTCGTACACAGAGTTTGGGGTGGGGTTCTGACTGGAAGATTGATCAGAGTTTACGTGCACGGAAAAGGTCTCTCTGAGGAAACGACAGGGCTGGGAGCTGAGTGGTCGTCACCCCACACATGGAGGGGAGAGAAGAATGTTCTTGGCAGATGAGGGGTCCAATCAAAATGGCTCTTGGAATACCCTGTGCTGGCAGCTGGCCAGACTCGCTGCAGCACCGTGAGGAGGCAGATGCCCATAGCCACCACTGTCAGAAGAGGCCATCTGATACTCAAGGTGGGTGAGGCTGCCCCTTGTCCCCCCCGAGGCAGTGTTGATCTCCCGAAGTTCAGGATCCCATATTGAGGGTTTAAGGTTCTTGTCTAAACCCATTAGCCCATCTGTGTTGCTCTGGGAGAAGCCAGCCATTTTGGTCCCTTTTGACTACCCTTGGGTGACAGATCCGTCACTTTTTTCCCATTACATATGTTTTCTGCACATATGTGGGAGACCCGATGCAGCAGGACCCAGCTGTCAGTGCCTCTTAACACTCAGACAAGTGCTTAATGTCCTCAGCCACCTGTGAATTGGGGATCTGTCTGCTCAAGCATGGCCGTCGGGAGCCGAGTCTCCACAGGAGCCAGCAGTCCCCACACGCTGTCATCCCGTGTGTCTCCTCAGCAATGCTGTACTGCCTGGGTTGTTCAGTCAACACTGATCAAGGAGTTTCTGTGAAGATGTGGGGTAGAGGCGCTTATGGTCTAGGTGGAGCTTATCCAAGCACTTGAGTCTCAGCAAAGCTGTTTTCCTGGAGAAACTTACCCTGCCTTGGACCCTGAAGCATTAACTCCTGCCCCAAAATGTGCAGCCCCAGGCCCACCTTGCAGACTACCCTCAGACCTGCTAGCTCTACCCTCAAGCAATCCAGATCCTTAAAACCTCTCCCTATCTCTCTTCTCTCTGTATGCTCCCACCCAGTTCCTCTTCCTGCCTTTGACCTCTGTGTATCTCCCATGGGTTCCTTTTCTCTGCAGACCCTTCCCCAGCGCATCTTTCAATGAGTGGACAGGTCCAATGACAGCAAAGCTCTCGCTTGCTTCCTCACAGCACCCTCAGTATTTAGAACAGTTTCTGACAGAGCTGACGATCAGGAAACATTTGCTGTGTGGTGTGTATTTATTCATCAAAGGACCCAGTGCTCCTCCCCACCTGCACGGGACTGTCAACCCCCACTCGCTCTTCCATCCGCTGCTTTTCTTTTCCTCTCTCTCTGTCCCTCTCTATCTCCTTCTCTCTCTGTCTCTCTGTCTCTGTCTCTGTGTCTGTTTCTCTCTCTCTGTCTCTCCTGTCTCTCTCTCTGTGTCTCTGTCTCTCTGAGTCTCTATGTCTCTGTCTCTCTGTGTCTCTGTCTCTCTCTTTCTCTCTGTCTCTGTCTCTCTGTCTCTCTCTCTGTGTCTCTGTCTCTCTCTCATGTGGGCTGCCCATCGATCATCTCGTGATTTTCGCTCATCACTGCATAGCATCCACAACCGCTCTCCCCTGCTGCCAGGCCTTCCTCTCCTCTCCATCCTACTCACTGAGCCAGATTTATCTTCTGAAAATAGAACGCTCATTACGTCACTCCCTCCTTCCATTCTGTTCTGTGCTGGAACTGGGTACAAAGACGACTAAGACAAGGTCTCTCCCTTCGTGGAAGCACCTCAGCTCCCTTGCAGTTCCGTCTTAGGCACAGAGGGAAAACCATCGGAAATCCACACTCCTAGGCTGGAGGTTTTCTCTCTTTTCACTCTTTGGCAAGTTTTCCTAGCTCTCCGAGACTGGTTATAAATTGGTAACACCTTATCTTACGGGAGTGGGGTTTGCAAGTGAGTCAATCTCTCTCTCTTCCCCTCCTCCCTCTCAAGGTGGTGTGTGTGTGTGTGTGTGTGTGTGTGTTGTGTGTGTGTGTGTGTGTGTGAAGAGAGAGAGAGAGAGAGAGAGGAGAGGAGGAGAGAGAGAGGAGAGGAGAGAGAGAGAGAGAGAGAGAATGCTTTATGTTGTCATAGCACACATCTGTAAACTCAATAATTAGGAAGCCAACACAGAAGAATCATGAGTTCAAAGCCAGCCTTGTGCTACATATAAAGATTTTAAGATAGAACACCACAAAAATAAAAAACTAACTCCAGCCAGCCAAGCACAACAGAACATGAGTGCTAGCGCTCCTTAAGGGTAAATTACCAACAATCTCATTAATCTCCGTTCTCTCTGCTCTGGGTGTGGCTGCAGCAGGCTAGTCCGCCTCCTGCTGCCGCCGCTTACCCATCATGGATTATGTTGTCCCGGGACTGTAAGCCTGAGGGTAGTTTATCACAGCATCAGAAAAGGAATGAGGACAGTGAGGATGCAGACCCACACAGCGCTGCTGAGATGTGAAGAGGTAAGTCCTCATGGTTCTTAGCAGTTGTGATAAACCAGATCACACTCATTCCCACACCCAGTGCTTCCTGTTGCACACCCACTCCATGTGTGATTTCTGCCCAATTAGAAGGCGTGTCTTCCTCCCCCTGGGGAAGAAGTCCTATTCTCTTTTTCCCTCCTCACGCGCTTTTACAGACTCATCGCCCCCGTCGTCACCCTGCAGTTAGAGTTGAGATTCTGTGGTTCTGGAGGCTGGAGAGAGGGCTTTGCCGGTGACAGCACCGGCCACTCTTCTTCAGGACCCACGTTCCGGTCTCAGCACCCACATGGTGACTCGCAACCTTCTGTACCTCCAGTTCTAGGGGATCCAGGGCCCTCTTCTGGCCTCTGTGGGCATTAGGTACACATGTAGTGCACAGACATATGTAGACAAAACACCCACGCACAGAAAAATAAAATGAATTTTAAAAAGAAAGCTTTGTGTGCTTTGGGCACCAGTGCAAGCGGCTCCACCCTCTTTAGTGACATGCATAATAAAGACTATGAGTGCCTTAGAATCCCACTCTCTGGGGTGACATCAACTCCTTTACAGTGATAGCCAGTGCTCTACGGCTAGCCGAAATGTCTCTTTGGAGCGTCTGAATGGCATTTCCAAAGTTGTCAATGAAGTGAGAGTGAAATTTAAGTGAATTTGTGCTGCCGACGATGCCTACCGCTTACTGTAGTCTGGGCACGCACACACCTAATCGATTCACTGCCTTTCTGTGAGGTAAAAACTGTTGGTGATCTCCGGAGAAGGAAGCTGAGGCACACTGAAGTGGAGCCTCCAGTGAGCATCAGAACCACAGCAAACCCTGTGCTCACACCTGTGTGCTGGCCTGGCTCTCCGCTGCTCTCGTCACTGGTGACAGGGGCACGCAGGGCCACGTTTCTATCATTTCCTAGGATAGCTTTGTGCTCTCGATTCAAGTGCTTGTTCTCTCTGAACCCCTGTAGAATAAGGATAACACCAAGAGTCTTGGCACCTCAACAATGTCCTTCTAGTGTGCCAAATGGCCCTCTTTAGTCGCA